AGCCTCCCCAGTTCTGGGATTATAGGTGTATACCACCACACCCAGTTCTGGGGACAGCATGGGCATGTGGTACTGGAGATCAAACCCAGGACCTTGCGCTTGTCAGGCAGGGGCTGAGACTGAGCTATCTCCCCAGCCCATCATCTTATAAGTTTATCTGGATTTTTATGGTCCTATCGGAGGAGTTTTAATTTTATGACATTAATTTGAAAGTTATTCCAGCTCCTCTCTTTGCCAAAAGGTAAGGTTTTCTTTTTAGAAGTGATATTAGACATTACAGTGAGTGGTGGGCAAATGCAGTCAGGTCAGGGCACTGGCTGGCTTCTTGTCACACACATCGCAGTCTGCAGAAGCCCTCTGTCCAAGACGTGACTGATGGGCCAGGGAGATAGCTCAGTAGAACAAGAATTTACCTGGAAAGTGCAAGAGCCTGAGTTCAATCCCTGGTTTCACCAAAAAACAAAAACAAAACAAACAAACAAACAAACAAAAAAAAACCCAAAATGTGACAATGTGCTTATCTGATCACTCACGTGCTGTACGCTGAATGTCACTCACTGTGACAGGTGTTGGAGTAACAGTCCTAAGTCATCTTCTTTAAGTCCAACATAGCACTAATCTTCAGAACCAAGTCGAACACTTATCATGGGAAATGGACTTCTTTAAAAAGCCGCATGGAAGAGTAAACGCAAAGAAGATTTAACAAAGAAGATTTAACTTGGTCTGTTAAAATACAGACCAAGTGACATTTTTGTGCTTTAACCCTAAAGTAAAGCATACATGTGTTATTTATTATCAGGCAGCTTGAAAATACTTATTGATAGGGCTGACCAGACAGCTCAGCAGATTAAAGTGTCCACTTAGGCAGACACAGGGGCCAGGGTTCGCTCTCTGGCTTGCCCTGCTGGCCTCACCCCCAGGCTGTGCTGAGAAGGCCATTGAGGCAGCATGGTGGTGCGCGCCTCTAATTCCAGCACTTGGGAGGCTGAAAACAGGAGGATCACTAGGAGTCAAACCTGTGTAGTGAGACCTGTACTAAATATACAAAAAGAAAAAAGAAAATACTTATTGCTCTTCTTAGCAGTCACGGACAAGCTACATGATGTATGTGTCACCAGATGCGCTCTCAGCTCCTGAATCCCGAGCTCTTTCAGCCCGCCCAGATGACAGACAGGCGTAATGCACTGCAGTAACCACAGCTCCCAGTACTTTGTAACCCATTATGCTGTTTGTCTCAGTTACTCTTCTCTCCTTGCTGGGACAAATACCCAACACCCAAAAGGAAGGAAGGAAAGGTTTATGTAGCTCACTGTTACTAGAGGTTTCAGTCCATACTCAGCTGGCTCCGAGGCGGAGGGGCACAGGGCAAAGGGCAGCGCTTCATGGCGGCCGAACAGCAGTAACAACAACAAGGAGCAATGGCTACAGAAAGTCTGTCTGTCTCTTATATTACATTCAGGCTCTCTGCCCCAGGTGTGTGTGGGAGAGCACTCACACCCATAATCCCAGCAATACTAAAACCCATAATCCCAGGCTTGGATCACACATAATCCCAGTGGATCATGTGGATCCTGAGTTAATCACAAACTCTAGAAGTCCCCACCCCACGACTGCATGAGGCTTTGGGGGGACAACTAGACACAAACCATAACACTGTTAGATGTTAATTAAAATTAGGCTCTGAGAAAATTATTTTTTATAATGGCTACATTATTTTTATTTGGATTACAGCTGACTTATATTTTCAAATGATGGCACCACATATAGTAAATATGATGCTTACAGCAGGAGCTCTGTGAGGTTCCAAGGACAGTTCTAATATGCTTGATTTGTGTGCTTTATATTTAGTAAGTGCATGTGTTTACAGGCAGACATAACCTGCAGCATCCTAAAATGCAGTTTTTCTCTTCCCTAGATATAAATTCTATCATGATCATGACAGTTAATTTCATAGGCTCATTGTTCTCCTGTCACCTAAAGCCAAGTCTCAGACTTTGCTTTCAAAATAACTCTTTCGGGAGTTTTCTCAATCGCATAAGCCATCAGGTTGGGCTGATTGTCTTGCCACTGATAAAACGATTTGCACATTTATGTGTGAGCTAGCGCTGCTTTCTCTAGACTCGCCATAGAATTTATCCTTCTGTTTCCCCATGATGTCTAGAGGTTTATTAAATATCTGCCTTGTGTATTATCTGGGTTTAAATATTAAATTTAATATTAATTAAATTAGTATGTATATTAAATTAATATTTAAATTAAATGTTAAGTTATCTGCCTTGTAATTTATCTGGGTTTGTTCACATCTACTTTTTAACCACATTATTGTTGGTGTGGTGGTGTGTGTGTGTGTGTGTGTGTGTGCGTGTGTGTGTGTGTGTGTCTCTTGTTTTCCAGGCATTCGTTAGCATATTTATTAAGTGGAGATGATGTATTTTCTTTGCAACTGGGTTTGAGATATGAAGCTACTTGAGGCAACTTTTACTGAGTATTTTATTATTTTGTTAGTCTTATGAACAAAATAATTGTTCCTGGAAACTTTACAAGGAGATTTTTTTGACAATCTAGTTGTTATTAAAGGCTATGGGAATTATTTGATTGCTCTCAATATTTTACATTATGTTTTATTTTAATTTTTTTGCATTTTACTATTTTAGTTTTCTTAGTAGGTTAAACCAGGAATTGTAGTGTTCTTTATAATCAAACTAAGCATTGAGCTACCACAGATGATATTGAACTAGGAATTTGTTGAAATAGTCACATAAAAATAAAGGGTCCCTATTTAAAGTTGCCAATTCTAACCTCATGATATTCTCTATTTTGTCGTTCTAATGGAAAAGTATTTCCTAAAATTCTCATTTTAATAAAACATGC